TTGGCAGCTGAGTGCTTAGCCACTGCACCACAAGGCTCCTTTCGTGTCTCCAGACTGAAGACAGACTAGGAAGAGAGGTTGGCAATCTAGTCTGGACCAAAGTACACAGGGAACTTTTGTCCAGACTAGAGAGAGACATACGGCCAACCTTGTCGTTAGCAGTCTAGTGCTTATTTGACGGGGCTTCAAAAAGTTTGTGGAAAAGTGGAGTGAAAAGGTAACAAATTTTCCACAAACTTTTTGAAGCCCCCTTGCTTATGTATCAGCATAGAAAACGATGTTACAGTTGGAATGGAACAGTGGTTCCGAATTGCAGGAGACGGCCCCCACCCCACAGGACATGTGGCAATGCCTGGAGACATTTTGGGCTTCCACCAGAAATGGGGTGTGCATGAGCTACTGGCATCGAGTGAGTAGATAATACCTAGGGATGTTGCTGAATATCCTGTAATGCACAGGACACCCCACGACAGATCTGCCTAACTCCGAATGTCCACAGTGCTGAGGCTAGAATAATCCAGCAGTTTTTTCCTTCCTGGGGTGTCCTGGTTCTCAGCTTTTCCTAACTGAATATGTACTCCTTTGGATTCAAGAAAAAACAATGTTGAAAGAAAGAAACCCCTCTTTTCCTTTGAAATGATGCAAGCTTGGCTTTTAAAAGGAAAAAAAAAAAAAAGTAATTATTAAGGCACCAAGGAAAAACAGAGGAAATACAGAAATAGAGAAGTCAACAGACTTAGAAGATCCCAAGTAACAAATGTTTGTTGAGCGTCAGGGAGGCTCAGAGGGCTGACAGCGCTGGACAGGTCCAAGATAAAGACGTCTGCTTCCCGGCTTCTGAGAAGGTTGCAGGCTGTGTGGGGAGAAGCTCGCTGGCCAGACAAAAACCTCTCTAGACGACAGGCTGTGGAAAAGAGCTTCACAGAAAAAGAGGGAGGGTGTTTCCCCAGTTGAAGAACTTGAGACAGGGTGGGTTTCCTGCATTCTGAGGCCAGTCTGTCTGGGTTCAAATCCAGCCTTCCCTTATAAACACAGGATCCCCAAACCAAACGAAACCAAACCAAAGGGGGTGTGTCCCAGACTGCACATCTTTATGGGAGTAGACAGTCTCATGTTTCTTCCGCAAAGCATCTGGTGGGCTTGAATAGCCAACTTTGTCGTTAGCAGTCCATTGCTTATCCTGCAGTACCACCAGGCTGCTTACACATTGAATGTTGTCGTTAGGTGCCATCAGGTTGGTTCTGACTCATGACGACCCTATATACAATAGAACAACCCCCCTCACGTCCTGTGCCAACCTCTCAATTGGTGCAACACTTGAGCCCATTGCGCGGCCACTGTGCCAATCCATCTTGTTGGGGGGGGAGGTGTCTTCCTCTTTTTCACTGACCCTTAACTATACCAAGCATGATGTCCTTCGCCAAGGACTGGTCCCACCTGATAACATGTCTGAAATATGAGAGATGAAGTCTGGGCATCTTGGCTTCTAAGGAGCATTCTGGCTGTACTTCTTGCTACACATATCTGTTTGTTCTTGAGGTCCATGGTCCTTTTTTTTTTTAAGGTTTTTATTGTGGATTGAGTGAAAGTTTTCAGGGCACATCATCGGTTTCACATTCAAATATTCATATACCTTGTTTCATTACATTGATTATAATCCCCTCCACATACCATCAGTTAACAGAGTTTCTCTCTATCCTCTTTAGCTTTTTTTTGGGGGGGGGGGAAACTTTGCCTTTTTGGAATTTACAGTCTCGGCTTTTAGGGAAGGTTTTTACATTTATCTGTGGGTATCCAGGGCTCATGTATGGAATTACTAACCAGCATAACTGAATAATCAGATAAGGGACATTTTGCTATGTCTGCTAGGTGGTCATGGTCCTTTTAATATTTTTCTCCAACACCATAACTCAAATGCGTAGTGACCCTGTAATAGAGGAGTGACTGGTGGGTTTCAAATGCCAACCTTATTGTTAGCAGTCCAGTGCTTACCCTACAGTGCCGCATCAGGACTCCCAACATTGAATGTTGTTAAGTGCCATCAAGTTGGTTCTCTATAGGATTTCCAGGGTGCGACGTGTGGGCTTGAACTGCTAACCTGTGGTTCACAGTCCAGTGCTGATCCTCCAACCCCACCCCAGCACTCCCAACACTGAATAATCGTAGGCTAATTAGGGGAGGCAGTGATGGCTCAGTGGTAGAACATTTGCCTTACATGTAGAAGACCCAGGTTTGAATCCTGGCCAATGCACCTCATGTGCAACTCTCCCCTCTTGTGGAGGATGCGGCCCAGGTTTCAGCTGAGCTTTCAGACTAAGATAGAGTAGGAAGAAATGCCTGGTGATCTACTTCTGTAAAGTCAGCGAAAATCCTATGGATTCCCAACAATCTGAGCTGCATTAGACCATGGGATGGCCCAGAACTGGGCAAACACAAAAGGACAAATAGGGTATGATCCCGCTGCACGGAATGTCAGAAATAGGCCAATGCAGAGACCAACGTTCACAGTGGCCCCAGGGCATGGGGGAGGGCAGAGTGGACAGTCATTGCTGAAGGGGTACAGGGTCCCTGTGGCAGGTAATGTGGCTGCACACATGGCGAGTGTCATGAATGTCACTGGATTGGTACACTCCAAATGGTCCGAACAGCAAATGCAGTCATAGGTGTGCCTCAGTATAAGCGTGTGTGAGTGTGTGGAGTGAGCGTGCATGTGACAGCAGGTAAGAGGGTGTGAGAATGTGCACCTGTGAGTGAGAGTGTGTGTGAGCATGTGCGTGTGTAACTGAGTGTGAGTGAGACACAATGAATGTGCATGTATGTGGGTGTGTGAACACACGCGTGTGTAACTGTGAGTGTGCATGAGTGTGAGGTAATATGCGTGTATGAGTGTGCATGTGAGTGAGGGTATATGTGAGCACGTGTGTGTGTGACTGAGTGTGCCTGGGTGCATGCATATGCATGTGTAGGTGTGTGTGGTAAATTGATGCTAATCTGTGAGTGGTGTGTGTGTGTGTGAGAGTGTTGAGGTGTGGGGAGGCATTGACATCCATGAAGGAGTGTGACTGACTGTTTCAGTCATTGGTGGTCTGGGCAAACACCTGGTTTCTCAGTTGTTTCTCCGCAGAGTCCCCCACCTCACCTGTCCCCCTCCTCACACAGGCCACAGTGGGAAGATGGGGGCACAGGCCCTGGGACGCCTGCTTGGCTGCTGGCTGCCGCTGACATTTGCCTGTGTCCTGGTGCTGGGCCGAGGGCCCCATGGCCAGCAGACTGAGCAGGAGCAAGAGGCGACCCCGGGAGACCCCAAGGTGGAGGGGACCAAGCAGCCACTTTCACCGCAGGACCATACTGAGAGGTGAGGGCTGTAGTTGGGCTGTCCTGGTTCTCCTGGTGGGGGTCCTTGTCTGGAACTGAGCATAGGAGCCCAGCCCCACTCAGACCCCAGAGGAACATCCAGGAGATCCCAGGCAGGGACAGTTAGGCAGCCAGTGAGTAAGATGCAATATAGTAAGACACCACAAGGTGGGGATATAGAGTCGTCACCAGGCCTCCAAGATCCCCATTTCTGCCTCCTGCCACTGTCTGCTGCAGGCCTCCTGATGGAACCTCCAGCTCCTCTAAGACAGGGAGTCCTCTCGTTTATAAAGTCGATTCTGACCCATGGCGTCCCGTGTGTGCAGAGTCAAACAGTCCCATAGTTTTCTTGGCTGTCATCTTTATGGAAGCAGCTTGCCAGAACTTTCTTCCACATACATCACTGCTGAGTGTATTTGTACAGACATTAGGTTACTGTTGCGGTTATGTGCTGTCGAGTCGGTTCCAATTCATAGAGACCCTGTGTAGGGTTTCTGAGGGGTGGCTGGTGAGCTTGAACCACCAATCTGTGGTTCAAACCAACCTTGCAGTCTAGTGCATTGACCCACAGCACCACACCAGAACTCCATTAGGTTAATAGGGATGGTTATGGGCCGTGGAGTGGGTTCTGACGCAGAGCGACCCTGCATAGAGTTTCCAAGGCTGTAAATCTTTATGGGAGCAGAAAAGCCTCAACTTTCTCCTTCGGAACTGCTGGTAGTTTTGAACTGCTGACCATGAGATTAGAAGCCCGATTTGTAACCACTACGCTACCAGAGCTCTTTCCGTTAGGTTAGCAGTGGAGTGGAAATGCTTTGTGCCGCCTGAGACTTTCTTAGTGGAATGCATTTCTCCTGGGCAGCTGTGTCTTGCACAGTTTCTGGAATGACTCCTGGTTGTGTTGCTGGGTTTTATCACTATCACCGCTCTTAGCAAAGGGCAGGGGGCTTGTCTGACTCAGGACCCCCAAATCCACCCTGGCTTGTGTTCTCCCTGATTCTGAGCAAGTGGACACACAGTGCCTGTGAGAGACGTGAAGGTGTGGGGTGTACCCCGGGGGACGGGGCGAGGTTCTCGGCTCTGAGAATCCATGTGTTTATTTAACTGTCCTCCACCCCTCAGGGCTGAAGAAGAACATGAAAAATATGGCCCCCACCAGGCTGAGGAACCGCCTGCTCCCAAATGCTTCCGCTGCTGTGACCCCACGCCCCCCGTGTACCCGCCCGTGTTGGTGCCTCAGATCAATGTTACAATTCTGAAAGGTGAGACTCTGTGAGCAAGAGCAGAGAGGTCTGACAGCGAGGAGGAGGGAGGGCACCAGACTGGAATTGGTCCCTGGGGAGGGGATGGGAGGGGGAGAAAGAACTTCCATTGTTGGTACTGTGGGGGCTGTAGGATCAAGACAGGAAAGGGGGCTTCTTCGAGCTCGGGCCCCAACCCTCCTGGCACGCTCTGACCAGAGGGCTTGGTTCTGAGGCTTGACATTACCCAGTGGTCTCTCTGCCACAGTTCCGAGGGCAGCAGATAAGCCTGCCCCGTCTGGCAGTGCGTAAACGGGAACACATGGGCCCCATTTCCTGTGCCTACATCTGCTGTTGTTTGCTCCGAGTGAGCGGTAGGCCTGGCCATAGAGGCTTCTGCTTTTGGACAAACCCATTTGCTCCCTTTTCTTTGCCAGGATTTTCCAGAAGGGAAAAAAAAAAAAGATTGCTTCTGGATGGAAACAGAAATGCTTGAGGTTGGATGTGCTTACTTGACTGATTTGGGAATCAAAACAGTTCTGTGCCCAAGGTTGGGCGTCTCAAGCCGCCTGGGCAGAAGTAAGACTGTTCAGAAAGTTAACACAGAACCACCGTACTCAAGACTTGAAAGCAGGGGTCAGGCAGACGTGTGGACACCCATGTTCACTACTGCCCTGTTCCCAGTAACCAAGAAGAGGTAGAGACAACCCAAGTGCCCAGCAACTGATGAACCTAAATGTGGTTCATCCATACAGTGGAGTATTGCTCCGTTGTAAAGACAAATGGGGTGGTGTTGTAGGATAAGCACTGGACTGCTAACCGCAAGGTCAGTGGTTCAAATCCACCAGCCACTCCTCAGACATCCTGTACAGGGCCTCTGTGAGTTGGAGTTGACTCAATGGCACTTCTCAACAAAGAGGAGCGACGGTCTGATGTGTGTTATGATGTGTGTGGACTTTCAAATTTTGTGCGGTGTGAAGTAAGTCAGACACAAGAGCACAAATACCGTGTGATCGATCCAAGGATAGGCAATCCCAGAACAAACAGGCAATGTTGTGGTTGTTAGGTGCCATCGAGTCGGTACCGACCCATAGTGACCTTATGCATAGTAGAACGAAACACTGTCTGATCCTGGGCCAACCTCACTACTGTTGCCACACTTGAGTCCATCGATGCTGCCACTGGGCCAATCCATCTCCCTGGGGGTCTTCCTCTTTTTCTCTGACCCTCCACCTTACCAAATGTGATCTTTCTCCGGTGACTGGTCCCTCCTGAAAATCTGTCCAAAGTATGAGAGACGAAGTTTGGCCATCTTGGCCTCCAAGGAGCACTCTGGCTGCACTTCTTCCAACACAGATCTATTGGTTCTTTTGGCAGCCCATGGAACTTTCAATTCTTCTACGATCTTCCTTATTCACTGTCCAGCTTTCGGCAAATACATAGGGACAAAAGTTTATTGGTAGTCCACCAGGGCCCAGAGGGAGAGGTGGGAGATGGGGAGGTATTTGCTAAGGGGATGTTGGGTTTGGGGTGATGAAAGAAATTTGGAAATAAATAGGGATGCTGGTTGTATGACAAGCAGAATGTCCAGGCAGTCCCTATACGTAGTCTCTGGGCTCCGAATGAGGTCTGCCCCTAGGTGAGTTTTTCAGTTGATCTGTCTTTGATTTATACACGTGCACACGGTTCTTATTTAGTGCAAGGTGGCGCAGTGGGTTAAGCACTGTGTTGTGAACTAAGCTGCTCCAAGGGAGGAAGATGAGGCTGTGTGCCCCTGTTGTAAAGACTCACAGTCAGGGGAACCCTCTGGGGCTCTTTGGAAACCCGATACTGGGTCGCTATGGGTCAGAACAGACTTAACGACAGCATATATGATGGCTGGAAGTAGTTCTGTGCCGTGGAGTCAGTTCTGACTCATAGTGACCCTGCATAGGGTTTTCGAGGCTGTAAATCTTTACGGGAGCAGAAAACCTCATCTTTCTTCCGCGGAACAGCTGGTATTTTCGAACTGCTGACCTTGAGGTTAGCAGCCCAATTTGTAACCACTACACTATCAGACTATATATCAGATGATATAGTCTACAGACTATATACCAGTGGGTGGGTCAATTGGACCAATGAGATACCACTGCAATTATGTTGGCAGTTGTGGTGTTTGGTGGTTGTGTGCCTTGGAGTCGGTTCCGACTCATAGCGACCCTGCACAGGGCTTCCGAGGCTGTAAATCTTTATGGGAGCAGAAAGCCTCACCTTTCTCCCGCGGAACCGCTGGTAGTGTCGAACTGCTGACCTTGTGGTTCACAGTCCGATTTGTAATCATTACGCTACCAGAGGTCCACTGGAGATGAGTCAGTTCCTACTCATAGAGAGCCTGTAGGGCAGAGGAGAACCATCCCATAGTGTTTCCAAGGCTGTGACTCTTTATGGGAGCAGACGGCCACAGCTTGCTCCTGTTGTCCAGCTGGTGGGTTCGAACCTCTGAGCTTCTGGTTACCAGCAGAGCTTTGTAACTGCTGCACACCAGGGCTCCCTGTATGTAAAACTTCAGTCAGCCGCCCATCTCACACCTGTGTCTCCCTGTCCCTTCCAGGTGAGAAAGGTGACCGAGGGGATCGAGGCCTCCAGGGGAAATTTGGCAAAACGGGCTCAGCAGGTGCCCGGGGCCACATCGGGCCCAAAGGGCAGAAGGGGTCGGTGGGCACCCCTGGGGACCGCTGCAAGAACCACTACGCGGCCTTCTCGGTGGGTCGGAAGAAGCCATTGCACAGTAATGACTACTATCAGACTGTGGTCTTCGACACGGAATTCGTTAACCTCTATGGTCACTTCAACATGTTCACGGGTAAGTTCTATTGCTACGTGCCTGGCATCTACTTCTTCAGCCTCAACGTACACACCTGGAACCAGAAGGAAACTTACCTGCACATCATGAGGAACGGGCAGGAGGCGGTGATTCTGTACGCTCAGGTGAGCGACCGCAGCATCATGCAGAGCCAGAGCTTGATGCTGGACCTGCAAGAACAGGATGAGGTCTGGGTGCGACTCTTCAAAGGTGAGCGTGAGAACGCCATCTTCAGTGACGAGTTCGACACCTACATCACCTTCAGCGGCTACCTGGTCAAGCATGCTGCCGAGCCCTAGCTGACCACGACCCCTGCTGCCCTCCTACGCTCCCTCCCGCCCCACCCCCACTGGCACCAGTCCCCCACCGTGGGGTCCCCTTCCCGGCTTCAGCCCTCAGCAAGACTCCCCTCCGGGGATGAGGAGCAGAAACCGCTGTGTGGTTCAGATCTGGTGACTGTCGATGGATGAAGTCATGGGAAGGGTGCCTGTGAAAATGAACAGCGGGGACGCCCTGCTCCCCTGCTCCCCTCTCTGTACGCGTCCTTAAGTGACCCCCACATGGGCTGGGGTGGCTCCTGGAAGCCATTAAGCATATTCTCAAGGTTAAGACAGGCGTGGAGAAGAGAGGCATTGTTGTCTGTGCCTTCCCACCCAGCTGCGGTGGCTCTGAGGGGGCTGTTTCCAACCAGAGTGCGTGAGGCTCCTTCTGAGCGAGATCTTAGTGGAAGTGTGGGTGACGGAGCACAGGAACTCAGGAAACCACATCTGGAACGGATTTTTTAAGGCTATGTCCAGACCTCCTGGCGGGGGGGGCAACTGAACCAATGCTACCTTGCCTAGTTGTTGTTGGGACATTGGGACACAAATGCCATCTCTCAAGGGGGACAACCAAGCTCCCTGTGGTGTGCTCTGGGGCTGGGAGAGGAAGCCTGCTTGCTCCAACCAACAGGTTCCTGAGGCAACTGAGGGCCCACGAAGGCCCCCAGACCTTCTAAGACAGTCTAAGAAACCAAACCCAAAAAATTCAAACCGGTAGCTCACAGTGATCCTATGTGCAGAACTTTGCTCACAGAGTTTTCAGTGGCCGTAACCATTTCCAAAGTAGATTGCCAGGCTTTAACTCCGTGGTGCCTCTCGGTTAGCAGCTGAGCACTTAACCATTTGCCTCAGCCAGAACTCCCATAAGAAGCGAAACCAAGACCAAAAGCCAGATGCCATCAAGCCGATTCTGACTTGGCGACTCTGTGTGTGTCCGGGTAGAACTGGGCTCCATAATGTTTCCAGTGATTGACTTTTGGGAACAGATTGCCAGGCATTTCTTCCATGGCACCTCAGGTGGATTTTATCTGCCAACCTCAGTTAGCAGCTGAGCACATTCATGGTTTGTGCTACCCAGAGACCCCATAAAGAACCTTCACAAAACAGAGGCAGGTCCAACCAGACACACTGGCATGGTTCTGCTCCGCCCCTCACCACTGCCTTTGAGCCCCAGGTTGGGTCTCCACACCTGCCCTCCACATCAGCTTTTTTTCCTCCTCAACGCTGGTCAGTCACCAAAGGCTCCGGGCTTTATGGTTACTGTATTGTCACATATAATGTGCCGCACACATAAAGCTTCACAATGCAAATAGCACTCACAGTAAACCAACGAAAGGCATTATACGGTTTGCAAAACCGTCCAAGGTGCTTGTTTTTTGAGCTAAAATACGGAGTACAGTGTTTTGGACGAAGCCACGGCACCCACTGTCTCAGGGCCTCACTGCCCGTGTGCTTCTTGTCCCCCGCCCAGGCCCTCAGCACCCTCACCCAGGTCTGGACCACCTGTCCAGGGCTGCACAAGAGGGCTTTCATCTGGTTCCCGGGACAGATAGAGCTGGATGAGGCTAGAAGATTTTGTCTCAGCCAGTGTCCAGGGCTGGGGGAGTTTGGTCCTGGGGCACTAACTGTCCGGAGAGTGGGGTGATGAACATTCCAAACAGGACGCGGGAGTGGGCTGTGCCCTCGATTGGTGCCCAGGTGCTGAGTAAGGCCTGGCCCCCAGCCCAAGCAGAGGGCTGGCTGGGACAGGGACCCTCCCATTACAGCAGTTACTACCTCTGGAAGGCACATGCCTGTCTGGCGGTGCTTCTGGAGTTTTGCTCAAAATGACATCTCAGGCTTATATGGAGCCGTGTTAAAGACAATCATCAACTGTCTTGCCGATCTTCAACACCACTACCATCTAGGAAGTGGTGAGGGCAGGAGAGTCCAGTCTGACCCGGGGACCCACGCTGCCCACCCACGTCACCCCACCCTGCTTGGGTCCCTAAGCTCAGACACTGGCCCGCCTTCGCCACGCCTGTGGTCATTTGGTCTTGGCCAATCCTTGCCCTCCCTGGGTATCGCAGGCTCACATGCTCTTCTAGAGAGTTCAATGACCAGACCTTAAATCCCTGTTTCCTGGGCGCTCCTTGAACAGGCCCCCCGCCTGCCCCCTGTATACCTCCATTGCTCTCCTACAAAGCCATTAAACTTGGAATTGTGTTGCTCTGCCATTGGATGAATCCTTCTCCTTTACCAATCCACATCCCGCACTCTCTGCCTGTGCCCCCTCCCGCCCCTGGAACCCACACTGGCTCCGACTTCTCCTCCTGGGAGCTGGACATCAGGGACAGAGCTGGGTTCATGGTGATGTGGATACTCAGGTGCTCAGATGCGTCGGGGAGGCAGGCAGGAGGGATGGACCATTTCTGGAGCAGGACACAGCATCCTTGGCAAAGCAGGGAGGTTTTGTGAGGTGGTGCCAGTCTCGGGAGACTTAAGATCTTCGTGTAGGCACTGTAACAGACAGTCACAGACCTGGTAGCTAAAAGCAGCGGAAGTGGATTCTCTCACTGTCTGGAGACGAGTTGGAAATCCAGGTGTGGCTAGGACTACACTCCCTCCAGAGGTTCTAAGGAGGCCCCTTCCTCGCTCCTTCCAACTTCTGGGGGCTCCAGGTGTCATTGGCTTGCAGCTGTATCATTCCCATCCTCCTCTGTGTCTCCCCTGTGTGTCAGATACCCTCTGCTTTCCCCTACAAAGACATCTGTATTGAATTTAGGGCCCACCCAAGTAATACAGGACAATCTTATCTTGAGATCTTTAATTTGTGAGGGTGAGTCAAAGTTGTCCTTACTCTGGCTGTAGAATTTATTTTAATCAACTTTTAGAAAGTAGAAATACATCATGTTTTGACATAATCTCTTTGTTTTTCAATACACTGTGTCCATCTATCAACAAGCTTTAGTATTACCTTATCAGAAAATGGTTTAGGCCAAACTGTGAGCCACAAATGCACCGCTGCCTTCATGTCTTCATCAGAGGTGAATCTTCATCCTTGAAGGACTGCTTTCAGGGGACCAAGCAGGTGAAAGTCCGATGGAGCAAGATTAGGACTAAAGGGAGGATGGTCTAACACCTCAAAACAAAGTTTTAGCAGAGTGTCAACAGTGTGGGCTGAGGTGTGTGGACGTGAATTGTCATGCAAGATCACAACATCCCTGGATAGCCGTCCTCTGCATTTCATCTGAAGTTTAGGCGTCTGTTCTTCAGTCAGCATCTCACTGAAAGGAACACTGCTGATTGTTGAACCTTTTTCCTTATGGTGTTCCGATACAGATTCTAGAGAATCCCAGAAAAGTGTAAGCAACGATTTTCCAGCTGAAGGTTGCCTTTGAAACTTTTTGTTGGTCAGTGACCGAGGATGTTTCCATTCCATACTCTGCGGTTTACTCTCAGGCTTAGACATGAATCCATGTCTCATCACCAGTAACAATTTTTTTTTAAAAGAAACATTTACCTTCCTTCGAGTATCGGTCCAGATTTTGTTTGCAGATGTCCACGTTCACACCTACACAACACTGACCTTGAACGGAAAGCGCTGATAAGAGTGCAGCCAACAGAAGTTTTAATATCGCCGGAGTGTGGATAATTTTTGACTCAGTCTCGTGTCCAGCTACAAAGGTCCTATATCCAAATAAGGTCCCATCCACAGGAACCAGGGGTTAAGGTCCAGACACTTTCCCAGGGACCGGGCATTGTGGCTTGGCCATGACTTTGGGGTCCGTGGCATGGGTCACATCATCTTTGGGGACATTGTTGAACCCACCACAATGACTTCCAGGTGTGCACGCACCTGCCTGCAGCCTTGACTGTGCTCCTTTATCTTCTCTCTATCCCTTGCCAACTGGGTGAGCAGCCAGGACCCTTATAACGACAGCCATCAGGCAGTGCCAATGCTGTTTCACATCCTCTGGTGCCAGCAGGTTGGTGAGCAGCTGGCCACCTTCCTTTGCCTGTGGCCATGGAAGGAACCTGAGCTGTCGTGCCCAGCCCTGGGCTGGGGCCAGACCAGAGCAGTCAAACGTTGCCATCCTGTGCTCAGTGAGACCCAGAGCAAGCCCCCACCTCCCTCCTGGGGTTCTGCATGCAGCTGGGAGCAGGGTTCATTCTTCTTCAAGATATGTGGTGTGGCGGGAAGGAGCCTGCTCAGCCCCATCCAGGTGTCTAGGGACAGACAGGTGGGGTGCTCACGTCATAGATTCCTTTCTGGTGTCTCTTCCAATCCCCGCCCCCACCCCCTTCACCCAGTCACTCACCAAATATTTACCCTGCACCTACTTTGTGCTGGGCAAGGCTAGGACAAGTAAGATATGGCTTTAGACAGACTTGTCCAGGATTTTAACTGCAGTGTTGCAAGGTCAGTTTGAACCACAATGGCAGAAGTTCAAGCTCACCAGTAGCTCCTTGGACACCCTATACAGGGTCACTATGAGTTGGAATCGACTCGAAAGGCACTTAACAACAACACCCTAGGAAAGAAGTCAGCCTCCTCAGAAGAAATGTGTGTTTCCTGCAGACACAGTTATCTGCTCCATCTGACTCCCTCTCCGAGGAGTTTAAGCCACACTTAAACTCTTAAACACTTTGACTCTCCCTGCTCCCACTGTTGTTAATAAGTGCAGTTCTGACCCATAGCAACCCTGTATAGGGCTTCTGAGAGGTGACTGGTGAGCTTGAATGGCCGATGTTGTGGTTCAAACCGAATTTACAGTACAGTGCATTAACCCACAGTACCACACCAGGACTCCTGTCCCTGCTAGTAAGAAATTAAACAACCATCCCAGGCAAAGACCTGGTGAATTCATTTACAAAGATGGGTGACTTAACCAAAGCAAACAATTGCTCCCAGTAGGACTTTCACTAAACTTAGCTGCCTGGGGTGGAAGTAAGGAGAGGATTACCTCCCCAGAGACCTCATCTTATGAGGGTGTAATGTGTGTGTAGACTTCACTTTGGGAACACACTATCACA